GGAGCGGAGCGGCCGCGGCTCCACCTGGCCCCTGAGCCAGCCCCGCTGGCCCGTCTGGGCGGCTTCCTCCCGCGGCGGCGCGGCCCGCAGCCCCGGATGAAAGATTTATCTCCCGCAGGGCGCCAGTCCCGGGGCGGGGGAGGCTCGGCCCCGCTCCCCTCCCTCGGCCCGATCTGCCTGGCGGGGTGGCCCTAGGGCTGGAGAGGCTCTGGGCGCTCTCCCCGGGACCTTCAGTCCAGCGAGGCCCACACTTGGAGCGCCCACCCCAACCGCCCAGGTCGCTGCGCCCTCCTCAGGCTTTGTGACTGGGCAGGTCTGGGTGGGGCCTGGGGGTGTGCTAGTCGCGGCCGATGGGGTCTTGCTGACGCATGTAAAGAATTACATATCAGCAAACCTAGTAGTATGTAATCAGTTTATTAGTGGTCCGCTTCCACGGAAGGGAACAGGATTGGGTAGAGTAGGGGGTGAAAGGCAAAGTTTCAGAGCAAAGCAGGGTGAGAAAAGCAAGAGCGGCTGGAGACCAGGGTGGCAAGCCCCTGGGCAGCCTGAGGCCCCATCGCCAGAGGCCCTGTGGCCCGAGAGCCAAGAGCCCCCTGAGTCCCTGAGAGAGAGAGAGAGAGAGAGAGAGAGAGCGCGAGAGCCCGGGTCCTTTGTTCTCCAGACTTATATAGTTGGTGAGATAGGAGGGGAAAAAGTCACATATTGATTAACGGGTAAATGTGGTGCCAGCTTTCCTGGGGGTTTGCTAGCCCGAATTCTTATCTCGCTCCAGACCCCATTTAGTCATCCTAATTGGTAAAAGGTGTTTCCTGGTGACCGGGGTGCTAAATGCTGGCCTGTGACAGTATTGCAGTCTCAGAGCTCTTCCGATGCTTCTCCTGCTTCAGGGGGACACGCTGGGAAAGGCTGCCGCAGACCTTCCAGATTCTCTTCCCACCCTATAGTTTCACTTTTCCTTTCGTGTGTGTGTGTGTGTGTGTGTGTGTGTGTGTGTGTTAGTGAAAGGCTTCATCCTAGGGGCGGAAGGAGCTCTACACTTAGCCTTGATCTCAGGTTCAGCTGAGCTGGTGGGTCTTTCTTTTTATTTTTTTTAAGGTTTTATTTATTTTTAGGGAGAGGGGAAGGGTGGGGAAAAGGGGAGAAACATCAATGTGTGGTCACCTCTCAGAGTCCCCTAGTGGAGACCTGGCCTGCAACCCAGGCAGGTGCCCTGACTGGGAGTTGAACCAGCGACCCTTTGCTTTGCAGGTCAGCACTCAGTCCACTGAGCTGGTAGGTCTTTCATTATTGGTGGGGAGAAGGGTAAGAAGGAAGATTTAATGTTACTGTGTGCACCTTCTACCATCATGAATTATTCTTTTTATTGTTCAGATCCACCACCTGTGCACTGGCAGCCCAGTTATCACTTGGCCCAACACACCATTTCTAGTCCATAAGCAGGCCTCCCCGTGAAGCCAATAAATGGTCATGTGAACTTGGTCTGTTAGGTAGGATGGACAGCAAACCGAGGCAGGGCGGGGGAGGGAGACAGGCCTCCCCCACTGACTCAGCAGTCCCGAGCCTGGTCTGATAATTCTGCCAGGTGTTCCAACACCACTGGAAACACCATGCTAACAGGGAAGGAGGGGAGCCCTTGAAATTCTATGTAGCGTTTCCACTGTGTGGGAAATAAGAGCCCTTGAAACTGTGCTTTCATCCCAGCCCGAGATGTTCAGTGTGTGCCAGGGCTGCTGGTCCGCAAGGTGGGTCGACCTGCCACTTCCGTCACTGTAGCACCCTCTCTTCCAGCTCAGGCTGACATACCGCTCCCTGCGCTCACACCACGTGCCCCACAGTGTACGTTTTTCAACTTGCTTCGCAACTCGTGATATTCCTTACTAAAAAGTGTGTCTGGGAACAAACACCCCCGATGAGAGTCCCGGCAGAAGGGCACTTGCTTTGAAACGTCTTGGATCCGGGTTTGTTCTTCTGGAAGTTCGCTTTCAGGCCCGGGTCTTTTTGTCAACCTCATTCAGACCTCAGAACGTCTGGGGGCTGTGATGTGACTCCCGTCCCTGGGACAGGGCCAGGACAGCACCCAAAGCCCGGTGGAACTCTGGTCTCCCCCGCTTCTGGGCCGCCCCGGGCTGCTGCTCACTCACAGCCCCCTCCTCGGGGGACGCATTCCCCGCAGGGCATGCTCTTCTTGCAAGAAATCGAGCAGCTTACCCTCCACCTCTGTGGTCGACTCTGGGCCGGGGAGACAGATGGAGCCGCGTCCCCCACGCATCATGAGTTTTGGGCCATGACCAAAACAAAATTTTCCTGGAAGGACATTTTTTTTTCCCAAGCAGCATCTTGCAATATTTCATCTTTTGACTTGTGCCTCCTATTTCAGCGTGTTCCCCATCCAACCCACTGATTAAACCCAGACCCTGCGCTCGCTCAGAGACGTGCTCTCGGTCTGAGGTCCCCCTGCAGGAGCTCTGAGACAGGCTCAGCCCCGCTGGCTGCCAGGTTTGCCTGAGCAGGTCAGCCCTATGGGCCTCCATGCAGGTGGCTTCCCCTGTCATCCAACTCAGGAGGCGCTGTTTTCCAGCTCCAGCTAGCCCTTTGGGGATTTGCACCCTCTTCCTCTGCTTTCATCTCAGCTCTTTGTCCTGAGTAGACACAGCGGCCAGGCAGTTAGTTGCAAAGATGACTTCATTCAAGGGCTGTGCAACGTGTCTCCGTCTCCGAGACACATGGCCTCCCACCCCAAGGAGCACAAACGCTGGGCCAGCGGGGGGCTGCGGGCTGCAGGGGACTCAGGTTTGCCCCTCCGTGAGCACTGAGCTTGATCGGCCCAGTGCAAGGCTGGTTGGCCCCCCTGAGCTATTCCAAGAATTAAATTTAGCGTCGAGTCTTTCCCAGCAGCCATGTCGTCATAATCCTAGAATGTGAGTGTTGGGTTTACTCGGATTCATTAAAAGATTCTTTCTACTTTTGCCTATGTTCCAAAATTTTCATAATTAAACATTTTAGAAAGTCATCGGGGGCCCACTGGCAGTTTGAAAACTGGAGAAGTCAAACAAGGACATCCCACTGACAGCCAATGGGATGCTTGGCGAGTCTTAAGAACTGGGAAGGTGAGGCAGCGGGTTCAGCGCGCTGCTCTGAACTCGTGAACATGCAGAGCGGAGCCAGTTTGGGTAGCGCCCAGAGGAAGCTTCAGACCTCAGCAGTTTCAAAAAATATATATGTTTATTGATTTTAGAGAGAGAGGGAGGGAGGGAGAGAGAAACATTGATCGGTTGCCTCCCATACACACCCTCACCAGGGATCAAACCTGCAACCTAGTTATGTGTCCTGACTGGGAATTGAACCCCCAACCTTTACAGTGTATGAGACAATGCTCTAAACAACGGAGCCACACTGGCCAGGGCAGGCCTGAGCAGTTGCCTTTGTGACAAAAGTATTCTTTGTACTCGCATCAGGTTAAACAGGTGAAGTATGCCGAGGGGGCAGTGAGCGTTACCCACGTCACATCAGGAAAGGTAGTTCCTTTTAGTAAACCACTTCCTAGAACAAAAAGGTATTTTTTTAACCATCACTGTTTTCCACGAGCACGAGGCTCAGATACAGTACAACACTGCTCATCTGTAAAACTGTGAAAACACTATCCACGTTATAGATGTGGTATGAGAATTCAAATGATCTGTGCAATTCCTTATCGCAATGCTTGGCACACACAGTCACCATATTTGGCAAATATTATACGGGACAATATAACGTTCTGTTTGCAAAAAAATGAGGCAATCTTTGGGATATACTTATGTCAAAACTTATCTGAAATTAAAAATTAACTGGGTATCCTCTACTTTGTCTGGGAACACCAGGCACACAGTGAATTGACAATAAATGTTAAACTTTTATTTTTATTTTTAATTCATTTTATCTTTAGAGAGAGGGGAAGGGAGGGAGAAAGAGAAACATCAGTGTGTGGTTACCTCTCGCACATCCCCAAATGGGGATCTGCCCCACAACCCAGGCATGCGCCCTGGCTGGGAATCAACCGACGACCCTTTGGTTCGCAGGCCGGCATTCAGTCCACTGCGCCACACCAGCCAGGGCAAATGTTAACTTTTATTATCATGAACACGAAAATTATTTTCAATCCATGTTACCTGGACGGGATGTCTCCTCCTGCTAAATACAGCTCTTCTTTGAAGGCAGACTTGAAAGGGCTCAGCGGGGCTGGGGGCTCGGGGGACGGTGGCCACAGACTTATCTTAGGGCTTCTTCCATTGCAGGCTCACCTACCTTCTCCATGCCCTCCTCCATGTCTCCACCTGCTCGGATGCGGGGAGATGGAAACCTGGACGTGGAAGGACGGAGGCTCCCACCGCAGAGCCCCAACGTCTGGAAGGGAAGGGTTTTCTCCCTCTCCAGCCACCTCCCCAGCCTCCAGCCCAGAGTTGAGCGACTTCAGTTCAAAAACACCACGTGCAAGGAGAGGTATGATTTGTTTTCGTTTTATTTCTAAAGATCCAAGTACCACATGGGGGTGGGGGGAGAAAGGGTTCCTCTGAAATCCTTGGAAATTGCTGCTATGAGATGGAACCCTGATGCCTGGAGCTTTGAGGCAGGTCTTGGACATTTTTGGTTCTAAAGTAGTCCTGGGTCACTCCACTAAAATGGGAAGAACGAATCCCGTCTTTTTCCCTGGGCTACAACGAGCTCCTTGAGCTTAGGGGTAGAGCTGCTCGGGCCCATCCCCAGGGCTAGGAAGAGGGCCGGGAACAGGGCCAAGAGCAACGTCAGTGGAAATGAACGAAGGCGAAGCGGTGGAGGGTGGAAGCGGAGACGCGGACGCGCAACGTGCGACCTCCAGCGGACAGCTTGGCCGTACCTCCTCCCCGAAGAAAGTTTGCCCCCGGGGTTCCCAAAGTTCCCGCTTTTTCTCCCAGGATGCTCCGCGCCGGCCGCGTCCCGCGATTGGCTGCTCCTCCTCACGTGGCACCAAGCCGGCGGCAGCGGTTGCCAGGGAGACGGCTGGAGTAGTGGCCGCCCGGCAGGCAGGCGCGGGCCCTAGCGGCGGAGCTGCAGGTAAGCACGTCCCCCGGTGCGGCTGATCCACCCCCGAGCCCGCCGTCCCGGGGCGGGAGGAGCAGCGGTGGGGCCCGAGGGCCGCGGCTCTGCTGAGCCCTCGCCTGGAGGAAAGCCCGATGCCCCAGCCTGGCAGCCGCTGCAGGAAGCCTCCGCTTCTCTCCCGCGGTCCAGGGCTCTCACTGCGGCGTGGGCCCCAGGCGCCGCCCGGACGTATCGAGGACAGGCCCAGCTGCTTCCCTCCAGTAGCCCCTGATCTTTGCTGCAGTGGGCTACACTTGGAGGGGTCCCCAAGTCCTCCAGATCGGCCGTGAAGGCGCGAGCGGGTGGCCTGGGACTTCTCGATCCACCCCCTCCGTCTTCTCCATCAGCTGATCTCCCTTCCCAGACACCCCGATTAGATCCAGATTTCATCCAATCTAAGCAAAAGCAGGATGCTTGCTATGCAAATTCTTCTTCCAGACCCATCCCGCAGTCTTACCTTAGTCACAAACCCTATAATACGGAAATTCTGAAGCTGCCACTACAACCCTCCAAAGTGAAGAAGTTTTCTCTAGTGTATGCATAAAGTAGAGCAACAGTTCTCAAAGTTGAATGTGCATAAACGACATCGGGAGAGCTTGTTTAAAACGATTTGGGGGCATCGTGCCTGCCATAGTGTTTGTTCAGTAAGATTAGGGTGGTGCTAGGAATTTCCATTTGCACAAGCATCGCACGGGATTCCGATTCAGGTGGTCCGAACTTGGAGTGATGCTGTGCAGCGGTTAAGGTTGGTCTGGATGGATAGATACTCCCGCTTTGTCACGCACTCGCTGAGTTATTGAGAGCACTTCTACCTCCCGGGGCATCAGCTGTCTCATCTGTGAAAGGAGAATTTAAATCATGCTCACCTTTCAGGTTTATTGTGAAAATTAAATGCGAACCTTTTTGCACATAAGTGGCATACATTAAACCTTCCATAAACCTATTGTTATTTAAGGGTTTAGAGAAATTTTTCTGAGAAGGTCAAGAGTCGTGGAACACCCGACAGGGGCTCACCTGCACTGACAGGTCACAGCAGACTCCTGGTCAAAGGATGGTCCCAAAGAGCTTCTCCGAGGAAGCGATGTTTAGTGGGTGCAGGGGTTTGCCGGGTGAAGAAAGAGATGGGGAAGCTGTCACCAGGCAGTGAAAACAATGTGTGCAAAGTCCCAGAGGCGGGAAGGAGCTTGAGTTCCCAGAAACAACAGTTTTCCGTTTTCCAGGACCTTCAGAAATGCTGTTTCCTCTGCTTGGGCTTCAGTGATTCGTTAAATGTCTTGGGTGCCTGTCCCGCCAACTCTGCTAGGTTCCAGAGATACAAAACTCAGATGCAGCTCCCTGCCTTGGTAAACAGGGTGATGCGTGTAACAGCATAAGTAGGTGCAGGGTGCAGAGGTACCCCAAAGGGGAGAGAACTGCCTTGGTGGGGGTGGAAGGGGAGGATTCGTGGAAGACTTCCCAAAGGGGGTCAGGTCTGAACGCAGTTGGTATGATGAACCGAGCTTGCCCGGGAGGTGGGGGGAGTTCACCGATCAGACGGCTTAGAAAGAGCATGTCATTTGGGGGAGTGGCTGGGAGTTCACTATTGTCGGGGCCAACGTGGGGCAGTGGTGGCAGGAAGCAGGGAGAGGGACAGGGGTGGTGGTCCAGGGAAAGGTGCGGGTGGGTGGTCCTCACAGAGTAGCTGTCTTTCTCCCGGCACCTGTGGATCGGGCAGGCCTGGCGGGGGCAGGGGGGGGCCTGTCTTCCCAGCTCCTCATCGCTCCTTCCAGATCACCGCCCCCCTCCTTTGCAGTACATGCCACGGGCTTTCCCTCGGGCCACCCCTCCTCGGGGCCGTCCCCTACGAGGGGCACAGCTGTTCTCCTTGAAGACTGGAGCTCCTGGCTCACTGTCTGCCTCTCCACCTCCGCAACTTCATTTTTGATTTCCGCATCCTGGCCACACACATTTCTCCGTCCTCCTTACTCTTAGGCATCTTTCTCTCCATCATCCTCATCAGGCCCCTGTGTGGTCATGAACTTTTTGTTACTGCGCCCCCTCCAAGATTTTGACTTGAAGCACCCACCCCCCGCTCTGACCACCACCTTCTGCCTCTCACGCTCCCTTGAATGTGCCCTCTTGGGCGGGCCTTCGACCCCACAGCTTTTTCACCAGGTACAGCGCCCTTACGTGCCTCCCCTCCCCCTTCTCAGCGAGGCTTAGCTCCAAAGCTCCACCACTGTTCCACTGGTTTTCTCTCTTCCCTGTCTTCCGGAGTAACTGCACTCTGATGAACCTAGCTCAGTCTCGGGAAGTGGCTGGAGAAAACCGAAAGTCGTGCAGACGTTTTGTCAACGTTTCATATTCCTGCTTGGGGGCAGAGCGAGGGATTAGTGACCGTTTATTTACATCAGATTAATTCTAGTGCCTAGCCTTCCTCAAAGTGGATGAATTGACCTTATTGTAAACTCTGTTCCGTTCTAAATACACTGTGCGGCCTTGACTGCTTGAATTACACACGCCACACCACAGCACGTGAGAAAACCCTAAGTAAGAAAAGCAACCTTCCTTGGTCTCAGTGGCAATCTTTGACTTTCTCGTTCATGCCGCCTTCCAGTCTTTGTCCATGTCATTTTACGTGCAGAAAGAACCTCCTATCATTGCTTATGTAGAGGAAGGAACCACCTTTGACTTCAGCCCCCCCTATTCCCTGGTGCTGCTGTAACGAACTACCATAAATGCAATGGCTTGACACAACATGGGCTTCTTGTTTTACAGTTCTGGAGGTCAGCGGTCTGACATGGGTCTCGCTGAACACAGGTCAGGGCGTTTATAGGGCTTCCAGATTCTAGAAGCTTCCTGCATTCTCGGGCTCCTGGCCCTTCCTCCACCCTCAAAGCCGGCAGTGGCTGCCTGAGTCTTCCCCACTGTGCACCACTCTGGCCCTGCCCCTCCTGCTCCCCACTTTGCTTGTAAGCACCCCTGGGCTTACAGTGGACCCCTGATAGCCCAGGCTACTCTCCCCATGTTGAGGTCACCTTAAGGTCAACCTCAATGCCATCTGCAGCCTTAACTCCCCCTGGCCTTGTCATACGACCCAGTGACAGCCTCCTGGGAGGAGGATGGGGCGCCTTTGGGGCCGCTGTCCTGCCCAGCACAGCCGCCTTTTTGTGACTTCGCAGATGGTTAAAACGAAGGCTTTTGTTTGGCTTTGCAGAGATTTTTGCTGTGAGAACTGACGGTAGCCTTCCAGCATGGGGGATATCCTGGCTCACGAATCCGAGTTGCTTGGACTAGTGAAAGAGGTAGGTGTGCCCCACCCCGGTCGCGGGGAAAGACGCTGACAACTCGTGAAGCTGATGTTTGCCTGCAGCCCGTCCTGCAGCGCCTCGTTGCGTTGGTGTCTGTGTGGTCCGTCCCAGCATTCTCCGCGTGTCTATGCTTTGTTTTCATAACTAAACTGGCATCTTACAGCTGGGTTTTTTAGAGTCCTTTTAAAGGACATTGTGAAGGCAACCCGTGGGTAGGGTAAAAGAGTCAAACATATGGGAGTATAAAATCGAATTTTCCTGCCCCTCTCCTGCAGTGACCGACCGCGGCTACTGGTTCAGCGCCTCACCTTTCCAGACTTTGTTCTGTGAATGTGCAGAACACATTCCCGGGTCTGCAGTTTGTTTTACAAAATGCGATGGTGCCACGCACGTTGTTCGGTAGCCTGTCTCTCGTCTGTCAGCAGTGACGTGGCCTGAACACCTCCCTGCGATCCTTGCACTTTTGAATGCTGTAGTTTTCCCTGAGCGGCAGCCTCCCGAGCACTGAACTCGTGCCTCTGAATGGACGCGTAGGTGTCCACGCTGCAGCCTTTGAAGGACAGGACCCACCCCTGACGCCTGTCAGAGCTCTCTGCTGTGTGTGGTGTGCGGCTGGCATTTGTCGGCAGGATCGTGAATGAATTCTGAGTGCTGTCCCCGCGGAGGGTTGTGGAGGGGGCCTGAGCAGGTGGCCACGGGTAGGGGAGGCGGAAACAGGGAGGTGTGACTGGCAGACCAGAGGGAGGGCGGAGTGTTGCACAGGGTCACGGAGCGCAGGGTGGGGATCACAGGGGAGGGGGTGCTCCATGGTGCTGTCTGCCTGAGGACCGCTCGCTGATGCCACAGCTCACCGTTTAATGACTTCTTCTCTCGGCGACAGGCGTTGTTTCTAGTCCCTCCGTTCCAAGTAACAAAGTCCCAGGGGCTGACCAGAGCCAAAGCCATCAGGCTGCCCACCCCCGCCTGCCTGTCACTCACTTTTCCAGAGCGCGAGATTTCTTCCCCGTTAGCCACGAGAAGGAACCACGGAGCTTGCAGTTTCCTCCCGAGAGCGGACCTGGTTCTGTAAAGAAACATTTTCTGCGTCACTGTCTTTCTAGACTTTCAGTGTGTGCGTGGAGAAGTGAACTCCAGGCTGGGTCCCAGGTTACTTCCTCCAAGGCGACAGCCCCTTAACCCCAGTGGCACTTGGGGCTGATACCGAACTGGCACAGTTGCAGCTGCTCTGCGGGTGTTAAGAGCAGAGAGCTCTGTATGCTTTTGTGTTTTCTTTTACAGTACTTAGATTTCGCTGAATTTGAAGAGACCTCGAAAACATTTTCAAAAGAATGCAAAATAAAGGGGAAACCTTTATGTAAAACAGCAGGTGGCTCTTTGCGGGACTCCAGGTCGCTGGTAATCCAGGTAAAGGCTTCCTTTTTTTTCAAATCTCTGTTGTAAAAAAAAAAAAATGCTGCCATTTGAGAACTTTGGAAACTTTTCCAGGGACCCAGTCACTTTCAGACTCCTCGGTGTTGGGGCATGGATCGGTAGCGCGGCCCTCACGGCTCTGCGCCCTGCCGAGGCAGGGGTGGTGACGCGGGTCCGTCACAGACGCTCCAGGGGAAGAAGACAGAGGTCACACCTGGCGGGGCTTACACACCGAGATGGTCGTCACCCCCTGCCCTGAGGCGTCTCAGGTTGCCGGTTCCAGTGCCAGAGCCCAGCCTCTGCCCTCCTGGTGCCTGCGCTCCAGCTCTGGGAGGCGAGGGCAGGGCAGGTCCTGCTGACTGGGGGGCGGGCAGTGTCCTGGCCTGAGCTGCTCGGTGAGCACGAGTGGGCTGCAGAGGGCAGGCGGTGGACGGTCCTCAGCTCTCGGAGTTGGAAGGACGTCAGAAGTCCTCGCTTCAGCCATTGTGTGATGTCACCGTCCCACTTGTAACCTCTGGGTGTAAGCTCACCTTGGCTGCATCCAGGGATGGGAGAACATGGCGTTTGCTGAGGCTGCGTATTTCAGCTTCGCGTGATTTCATTATTTTCATAAATTTAACTCGTTTCAATATGCCCACTTCCGAGAAAAATTTGAGACTTGTCTTGAAAGGCCCACTAAGCAGATAGAAGTTGGGCCACTGAGAGTGCCTTTCTGCCACTGGTCCCTGGCGCCCTAGTGCTTCTAGCCCGTTGTGCTTCTAGCAACGGGGCAGATGGCAATGCCGCCTTCCAGGCCTGGGTTCGACGGGCTCAGTGTGTGAGCTCCTGCCGCAGGGGCACTGGGCACTGTGCTGTCTGCAAGCTACAGAGGTAGCCGGTTTGCTCTGCTGCAGCCTGGCGGCTCTCGGCCGTCCCCTGTTACCTGCAGCAGGCCGAGAGTCAGCGAGGTTGGAGGGCGGCTGCACGGCGTTCGTGCGCCAGTGAGTGCCCCGTGGGCGAGCCTCTGGCCGCCGCCGCCCAGCTGTTCTGTTTCCGGGGCCCCAGACGTCCCGTCTGTTTCTGATAAAGCCCAGGTTCGAACCCGCAAAGGGTGGGAAGGCAGGGTCGGTCTGCAGGAACCTCGGCCTACAGAGCTTGAGGCCCCCTGGATCTCCGGTTTTCTGTCCCTTAGCTTCGAAAAGGAGGCTTGTGTTCCTCACTCGGAGAGCCCGCAGCGATGGGGTCTCCGGGGCGTTGGGAGGGTTGTGAGAGCTGTGCGTGCTGGGGGAACGGGCACCCCGTGACGGCCCGTCTGCCGTGCTCCCCGCAGAAGGACCTCCTCGCGGCGTTTGACAGCGGGGACCAGAAGGCGTTCTTCGGCCTGTGGGAGGAGCACCTCCCCAGCTCCCTCCGAGACGGCGACGCCCTCGCCCGGAAGCTGGAGTTCTACCTTCACATCCACTTTGCCATCTACCTGCTGAAACGCTCCGCGGGGAGGCCGGTAGGTTCGGCGTAGGCTGCGGCCGGTCCCAGCGGCACGTTTCGGGGGAGCGGCGGCTGCGGTTCTCCAGCGAGCACCGCTGCAGTTCACGGCCGTCTCATCCCACGGGGTGGGGGGAGGGCTCGCGTCTGTGTCCGAGGGGCGGTGCTCCGCCCCATTCCCAGTTTCTTTTCTAACTGACTGGAGAGTTAACGATTCTGTGTAAGCTGTATTGTTTTCCTGAATACCTCAAGTGTTTGAAAACTCAGCATTCATACACATACATGTATATCTAAGAGAACACGTATGGAGACCACATATTAGACCATATATTAGATGAGAAATTCAGGCATAAACGGTGGGAAAATGTAGGCCTAGCTGTGCAAGTCCGTTTGAGCGCTAGGTTGAATCTAGCTTCTGCAGCCTTGCCCCGGGCGGGGCTGGAGACGCGCCGGCTGGGGAAAGAGTGGAGGAGAGGCCTTGAGTGCAGAGCAGGCGACGATGGGGGAGCAGGGCCCAGCTGGCATCCGATCACATGTGCTTGGTTAGTGGCTTCCCCGTGCCTGGCCTGCCGCCCCAGGACCTGTGCTAACCTACTAGACGGTCGGGGGCTGCAGGAGGGCTCGGCCGTGGAGGGACCCGCTTGCTTTCCCGGACATCGTGAGAGCCGTTCCCGGCCAGCTGCGCCCAGGGTGGTGCTCGTGGGGGCACGGTCGTGGGAGAGTGACATTGTCTTAGCACTTATTTCTGTATGAGGTGAAAAGGCAATGAGTGTTATGTGTATTGTACTTCTGGCGGCCAGAAGAGGGCTTCACGCCGCAGGCGGAGTGAGGGGCAGTGGTTGGAAGAGCAGGCTTCCCGGCTCCGGAGCCTGCGAGGGCGAGGGCGAGGGCGGCACTGCCGAGGCCGGGGCGGTCCGCGGAGGGAGGCTCCGGGTGCAGGGCCGCGGAGGTCTGCTCATCGGTCCTGCTCCGCGGCCCAGGAGGAAGCGGAAGCCCCGAGAGGGACTTGCGTCACCTTGGATTTCACGTGGAATTAGGGCAGCAGGCAAGATCAGTTCTCAGATGCTTTAAAAAAAAAGGTTTTATGTATTTATTTTTAGAGTGAGGGGAAGGGGGAAGAAAGTGCAAGAGAAACATGAGTCGGCTGCCTCCCACGGGCTCCCAACAGGGTACCTGGCCCCCCACCCAGGGGTGTGCCCTGCCCAGGAACGGACCCCGCCATCAGCCAGGGCCCCAGTCACCTCAGTGAGGGAAAAGAATGTGACACGGAGACTTCAGCTGCAAGAACCTGTTCGCTCTAGGAACGTCCCCCAAGGGAGTCATGGGAATGCACACAAATATTTGTGACCCCTGACATGTGGGAGCGATGCCCATATGAACTGATGGGGCTTCGGTTAAACTGTGACAGACTCACAGCATGAGGTTTTGTCTTTTCATTAACAGTGATGCATATGATGAACCTTAGGGATGAGAGAAAGTGGTAGTAACGTAGAAGACAGCAAACTGAACGTGTGTCTGCTCTCTGATATCCCTGACAGCGTCACGAAGGGGTGGGCTGGGGGTGACGTTAGAAAGATGAGACAGCGCCCCCACCAGGCCAGGTGGGGAGGCCGCCTGCGACGTGGCTGCAGCCAGGGGCTGGGTTGACGGGTGGACTGGGTGTCAGGCAGGGGACCTCAGCGGGTGTCTTCCCTTCCTTGTAGGACAAAGGGGAGCTGGACGAAAGGATTTCTTATTTCAAGACCTACCTGGAGACCCGAGGGGCGGCGCTGAGCCAGACCACCGAGTTCCTCCCGTTCTATGCCCTGCCTTTTGTCCCCAACCCAGCGGTGCACCCCTCGTTCAAGGAGCTCTTCCAGGTCAGTGACAGCCTGTGGCCGCGTGTCACACCCCACGCAGCCGTGTGCCTTGTTCGCGCTGGCGGTTTCCGAATGAAGCGGCAAAAACTGAAAATGGGCAACATGGGCTTCTGTTGCAGTTAAAGACTTTTTGGATACCTTGCTTTCACAAACTTTTCTTGTTCCATAAAACGTGATTTGATTTGATTCACCAAGACTTGTTAATCCAGACCCACATAACTTTTTAATATACAACATCTTAAGTCATTTCGTGTGAACATGTTCAGTGTTGGAAGGATAATTTATTCGGCATATTGGCAATTAGCCGCCTGAAAAAGAACTAGAGTATTTTGCACAATTGCTGGCCATATGTATTTTACTGATAATTTGTATTAAAATTCTCACTTACTTGGCATATATTTGGCTACCTGATTTGTACTATTATTTCCATCAGACGGTTTGCCTATATCTCTTTTGTTATACTTTATTATTTTTTGAGATTTTATTTATTTATTTTTAGAGAGGGAAAGGAGGGAGAAAGAGAGAGAGAGAGAGAAACATCAATGTGCGGTTACTGGGGGCTGTGGCTTGCAACCCAGGCATGTGCCCTGACTGGGAATCAAACCTGTGACACTTTGGTTTGCAGCCCACGCTCAATCCACTGAGCCACACCAGCCAGGGCTAATTATTTTTTTTAAAGATAACTTATTTTTTTAAATGTGTGTCTTTTTTAAAAGATTTACTTATTTATTTTTACACAGAGGGGAAGGGAGGGAGAAAGAGAGGGAGAAACATCAATGTGTGGTTGCCTCTTACACATGCCCCCTACTGGGGACCTGGCCTGAAACCCAGGCATGTGCCCTGACCTGGAATTGAACCAGAGACCCTTTGGTTCGCAGGCCGGCACAGCACTCAATCTACTGAGCCACACCAGCCGGGGCCTAAATACATAAAATCTTTAAAGAAAAAAAAGAAGGACGTTGGGTGTTCTCACAGTGAAGACTGAAGACCTGTGGTTGTGAAATAGCGTGGCTGCAGCCTCGCTCACGGTGAGGTGAGGTGGAGCCGGCAGCCAGGGAAGCAGGCGGGGCGCAGCCGAGGCTGCGTTCAGGAATCGAGAGAGTGTCGGTGTTCATGGAGTCGGCTTACTCCGTCCCTTCCCTTTGGCTGCTCTCCAGGCACGCCCTTTGAGTAGTCGTGGTAGGCACTTCATTGCGTATGCACCATAACCTCTGGTGCTCACGTCTTCATCCCCTTCCTGACCGTTGCCAGGGTCTTGGGGTGCATTAACCTCGTTCATCCTCTTTCCAGTTTCTGTGCTATCATTGTCCAATGTTTCAGTTACTTACCTCAATGCCACAAATTAGAATTGTTTGCTATTTTATGCAATCGGTGTGTGTACAGCTTCACCCTCACACCTGCCAGCGCGCTGCTCCTCCTCCTCCGTCCTGTGCTGAGGACCTTCCGTCTGGGACCACTTCCCGCCCCACCTGGAGTACCTTCCTCTACATCTCCTGCGGCTGCAGACCCCTCCCTTCAGTTCCCGTCCGTCTGCAGTGTCCGGCTGCACTCTCGGACGGAGTGCGGGCCAGCGGGTTCGGTCTCTCCCGTCCGGCCCGCGGCAGGTGTCCCTGTTGCGTCTCCCAGCTCCCACGGCGGCAGCTGCCACTTCTGAGCCGGCCCTCGGTCTGTCTGCCGCGGTCTCTCTCTCTTGCCTTTAGGATCGCGTCATTTCACCTCAGTGTCCAGGGACACTGAATACTTGTTCGGCTCTGTTTTTCACCTGTGTTGATTCGTGTCGGCCAACGTCGCCGCCCTTCCCTGGGGTTCTTCCTGGAGCTGAGCGCAGAGAGCCCAGCCGTGCGTTGGTTCTCTGCGGCCGCCCTAACGGAGGGCCACAGACGGGCGTCTTAAACGGGAAGAACTGTGTTGTCTCCCAGCGTAGGAGGCCAGAAGTCCGAGACCCGGGCCTCTGGCCGCAGGGCCGTGCTCCCTGGAGCCTCCAGGGGAGGCTCCTTCCTTTGCCTGCTCCGGCTTCTGGAAGCTTCCAGTGTCGCCCGCCTTGTGGCAGTCTAACGCCGGTCTCTGATCGGCCTTTACGTGGCGTCTGTTCCCCGTGTCTGGGCCTGAAACGGCCTCCTTCGCACAGAGGCCCCCGTTCCTGCTGCATTAGGAGCCCGCCCTGCTCCAGACCAGCCTCCTCTTAACTGGCCACACCTGCCTGGACCCCGTCCCCGGCGACCTCACATTCCGAGATGGGGACCTCAGTGCACCTTTTCAGGGGACACAGCCCTTTTCAGGGGCACCTTTATTTATGATTTATTTATCGTAAATAAAGTTGTCGTGCCGTGTCAGGGAATGACAAAGTCTTTTTTAAAATACCAGACTTTGTTTATCTGGCAGTTTGTTTTCGGAAGTCTGGGAAGACCCTGGGCAGACTGGGTGGGGCGGGAGGGGGTGAGGCTGCCCAGCCGGGAGGGGAGGGCAGGGAGGGTGGGGAGGTGCATGGGCTGGGGGGCGGGGCCAGCAGATGGGAACTTTCCGGGCAAACAGCTTCGGTTCGGTGGAACTTCTGAGCTTGGGTGGCGGGTTCCTTCGTATGAAGACTCTCAGGGAGATGCCCTGAGAAGGGGTGCTGCTTGTCACCCCTTCTTCTCTTACCACTTACCTCATCCCTTTTCCTTCCCCACGAGCCCTCTGTGAGACAAATCCCTTCTTTTCAAGGGACAACTCACACTCACGCGCCCCGTGATTCTTGGCACGGTGGGGTCTTTGAGGCGCTGTCCTTCTCCCTCACCGAGGAGGGGTCCGTGGAAGCGGTCCCTCTCCTCGGGAGACCGTCGGTGACCTAGAGACCGTTGCATGTGCCTGCCGGCACCGCGTGTGCCTCTGCTGGCCCGCATTCTTCCCGGTATCCGGCCTAATGAGGCTTCTTGTCGTGCTCGGGTTTAAGTCACACGAAGTATTCAAATCACGCGCAGGATTCTTTTTTCCCTGTTCATGAAAGAACTCTGTTTCCTTTTCCTGCCGTGGGAGCTCGGCGCTTCGGTGGATGAACTGGTCGGTGGTCCTGAAACCTGCATTTCATTGCTGCCAGCACGTCTTGCTTATACTTCACCCTAAAGGCACGGCTTGACGATGTTGTTAGCGTTTCCCGATTGAGCTTTTATTTTATTTTCCTTGTTTTCTTCAGGACTCCTGGACTCCAGAATTGAAGCTGAAGTTGGAAAAGTTTCTGGCTTTCATTTTTAAAGCCGGCAACACGCCGAAGCTTTTAGCCTTATATGTATCCTTTCGAAGCCGAGGGAGAGCGCCGTGGTGCTGGAGGACCGCGCCGGCCCAGACCGCCCCGCAGAAACGGGCGATGGGGAAGGCCGCTGTCCGGTGTCCGGTGCCCACGTGGTACAGAGCGCCAGCGGGAGGGAATCTGTGCCGCCGGATCTGTGAGGCCGGCTCGGGTCTTTTTTTGTGCCACGTGCTAGAAGCTTTGCTGGGGGGAAAAGTGCCCGTCTTTTTGGAAGAAAACTCCTTGGAATAACTGTCCCTTCTTAGTAGAAGACGTCCAACCACTTTTAAAAGGCCTTGAGGCCCCAGCATTTGGACCAAGCGACTTGTTATTCAAATTGGGCCTCTTTAAAAGACAACTTTATTGAGGTGTAATTTGCACACCATGAACATGTACAAGTGAATGATTTTTAGCAAATGCGTGGAGTTGTGCAGCGTCTATCTTGACACCGCAGTTCCAGGCAGGACGCTTCTGAGAGTGTACAAGGGCACTGGCTGGCTGGGGGAGGTGGGGCAGCGGTCACCCATGCCTGGGAGGCTGGTTTCCCAGAGCCTGTTGGTCTTTAAAGACGCTTGTCTCCTTTTATTCTGAACAGGAATATATCAGTTATTTTTTTAAAGATTTTATTTATCTATTTTTAGACAGAGGGGAAGGGTGGAGAAATGGAGAGAAACATCAGTGTGCAGTTGCTTCTAGCACGCTCCCCTACTGGGGACCTGGCCCGAAGCCCAGGTGTGTGCCCTGAGTGGGAATCGAACCAGCGACCCTTTGGTTCGCAGGTTGGCGCTCCATCCACTGAGCCACACCAGCCAGGGCTGTACCAAAAGTTATTTCATAAAAAGATTACAACATTTGGAATTGTAAAGCGGGTACTTGTTCTAATTTAGTGAAAAATGTAGGCCACTTGGCTGTCTAATACCTGTTTCCTTTCCGACTCCAAAGCACAGGACCCCCTTCCCCTAATTGACCCCTTTGTCCCTGGGATCCCGTGACCCGTGTCTTCTTCAGCGTCCGCAGCCTCCGGAGGCTCCGGCTGCCCGCGTGCAGTCCCCCAGCCTCGCCCGAGACGGGCCCCGGTGGGCTGAGCTGCAGCTCCTCTCTCTGCCTGTACAGCCCTCAGGGTTTGTGCAGGCCCCTGCCGCTGCGCCCGCACCGTGATGTCTGCATAGCCGATCTGTTTTCCTCCCCGAGTTCCGTACACAGTGACAGTTGTCAGTGAAATGAGGACTTTTCCAGCCTGGCCCATGGTTATTTTTAGTACTCCTTTAAAAAGCATTTCTCAGCGTGAACGTAATGGCGCCAATGTGTTAAGATTCTAAAAGAAGTTATTTACACACTAAATCATATTTTGTTAATAATAGCACCTGCTTTTTATTGGAATAATATGAGGATTGAGTTAACACATCAAACTTGATTAAACATCCATCACATAGTAAGTGCTTGATAGCTGTTAGTATTGTAAATGTTTGCAAATACTTGTCACCTCCCATCCTATTCAGCGTGCTTTGAAGCAAATGCATTTAAATATAGCAGGTAACTACAAACGTTTCTTTCTTTTCCTTGTCCCACGGAAACATTTGCAGTTCAGGCCAACACACACTAAACTGAGGTCCGTGCTAGGAATTAGGGATCCAAAGGAAAGGCCGAGACCCGCTTCTCTTGGCCAGGTTGGAGGTTTTATTAAAATTTTTTTATTTAATCTTTATTGTATTTTTTCTATTATCATTTAGTCCCATTGTACCCCCTCCCCCAAGTTGAAGTTTTAAACATAATTTAAAAAAATTATTTATTTTTACAGAGAGGGGAAGGGAGGGAAAAAGACAGGGAGAGAAACATCAATGTGTGGTTGCCTCTCATGCACCCCCTACTGGGGACCTGGCCCACAGCCCTGGCACGTGCCCTGACTGGGAATCGAACTGGCCACCCCTTTGGTTCGAGGTCAGTGCTCAATCCGCTGAGCCACACCAGCGAGGGCCCAAGTTGGAGCTTTAATCAATAAAATGGAGTCTGTGACGCAGATGAGGGCAGGAGCCCCAGGCAGAGGGAACGGCTGGCGCAGAAGCGCGGAGGCCGGAGGTGTGGGAAGCTGGAAGGGACGCCCTGTTGCTGGAGAGCGGAAGCCAGGGGCGGGGCCGTGGTGGCTCATGTGAGTGAGGGCCTGTGGGCGAAGGGCGCCTTTGAAAGGTTTTAAGGAGAATAACATGCTCACCTTCCATTTTAAAAAAATCACTTTTTCATTCCTGATTATAAAGTGGATCATATTCCCTGTAGAAGATTTAGAGAGCACAGAAATGCATTTGCGCACACACACACACCCCCCCAAAGGATGCAGTGTTTACGATAAAGAGGGTAGTTGCCCGTATATATGTATGTGGTTTTTAGTACTTTTATCAGATGGAAGAGAGCATTTCGCTAATATCATTAAATATTCTTCTTGCAGGTGTCCAACCTGCAGGCCGCATGTGGCCCAGGACGGCTGTGACTGCAGCCTGACACAAAATCAAATGTACTTAAAACCCTTTTATTTGACTCATCAGTTTCTGTTAGTGTTTGTGCATTTACCCTGTGGCCCAAGACAACTCGTACTCTCCCAGTGGGGCCCAGACACGCCAACAGGTTGGACACCCCCTAGCTGTACACCCAGGAGAAATCAAACACGTCTAGGGTGCCACCCGTGCCCGGAGGTTCGCTGGCGTTACTCAGAACGGCCAGAAAGCACAAAAAACCCAGCGTGCACTGACCGGTGGGCAGGTAGACAAGACGTGGTGCAGCCACACAGTGGAGCGTTCTCTGGCAATAAAAAACGGAGGAATCACTGACACACATGGCAACATGTTTGATGTGTTAAGTGAGAGAAGCCGGTCATGACAGGCTGCCTATTGTGTGGTTCCACTCATACGAAGGGTCCAGAAGAGGGCAGTCTGTAGGGACAGTGGGCCAGCGCTTGCCTAGGGCCGGGGGGAGGGGGTGGGGGGTGGCCGTGAAGGCTAACGGTTGCAGGGTTTTTGGGGGGGGCGAGGGGAGTGTCCTGCTGGTCATTGTAGTGACGGTTGCACAACTCTGAGTATACGGAAGACCACTGAAATGCACCCTTCAAATGGGTGAATTCTGCAGTGTGCGCATTACATCTCAGTAAAGCTGTCCCCGAAGAAGTTAAGGAAGCCCTCGCCAAACGGGCTCAGTGCCTTGCCTTCGGTCTCGCTGCCACCTGTGCGGGAGCTGAGGTCCGAACGGGCAGTCTGGCCCCCGGGGTCTGCGGTCGCCGTGGCTGCGCTGTGCGTGCGGCTTCCATCCCAACCCCAGCTTCCTCGGGGTAAAGCTTGAGGGCTGAAGTTACGAGTCAAAGGGTGTGAACTCAGCTTTGCATTTCTAGTAGAACGCCTTGGTAGAGCGGGGAAGGTCTTGGGCAGGGAGTACGGAGGCCGGGGCGGGGTGTTGAAATGGGACGGGAGGTGGGTGCACCCAGAAGAAACTGAGGTGGGAAGAAGAGGGTTTACTTGAGAGCGAGCCGTCCAGGTAATGAGAAGTCGGTAGCTGGTAACGGTCTTGCAACTGTCTTAGCCGGGTAGAGCAGCATTAAGAAGCAGCCTTCGCTGTCCTGAGAACCCTCTTCCTCAGACTGGCCCCCGGAGGTCAGTGCCCTGAGGACTGCATCCCGAACGCCCATTTTCCTGAACTGCCTTCTCATCCCAGAGGGAGAATGGACAAAGTCACAAAGGTGAATCATCTAGATTAAAAATTTTATTTTATTTTATTTTATTTTTAGAGAGAGGGGAGGGAGGGAGGGAGAAAAAGAGGGAGAGAAACCTCCTGTGAGAGAGAAACATCAATTGGTTGCCTCTCACTCACCCAGGCCAGAGACAGAACCCGCAACCCAGACATGTGCCCTGACTGGGAATCGAACCGGTGACCTTTCGTTTTGTGGGAGGTGCTCCAACCAACTGAGCCGCCCCGGGCAGGGCTGGATTAAAATTTTTTAAATATCAGCTTTGCCACCTGAAGTTTTAAGTAGTGAGACAGAGAGAATTCCACAGACTTAGAGGAGGAGGACTTTAAATGTCTAAATATTTGTGAAGTGCTTTGCAATCATTTTTATCTGAGATTCCTTGAGGCTCGCTTCCCAGGAAGGCTGGTGTTTTTTAGCTTCGTCCTGTGTGTCAGGTACCTGAGACGGGGAGGAAGAAGCGAACCCAAGCACTGTGCCACCGTGACTGCAGCAACACAGAGAGGGCACCGCTGTTTGGGGGGAGGAATTGTTTTATGTCTTTACTTTCCCCCTGAACTTGCCTTGAACTAGTCCACCAGCAGCACGGAGTGCCCATTCTTCATAAAGCATTTCCATTTTTTACTTCAAAGTAGGAATTCCAGTCTTAATTTTTTTTTTAGCAAAAAATGATGACTTTCCATGATGAGTCATTTTTACCAGAGATGTTCCATTATCCAGAAAGGTGAGAAAAACTAGTTAACGTGAAGTCGGCCAGAACCGGGGTGCTTTGCCTGAGTGTCCTGGACACGGCGTTGTGAGAACCGCTCGAACGATCGGGCCCATGGAGCGCTGGAAAGCGGATGCCGTGTGCCTCAGGCTGCGCGAGCCTGGGCACCGCCGGCAGCATCCGCAGTTCCCAGCAGGTGGAGTGTCACTACACGAAATAGGGCATTTGCCCTTCCCACGGCAGAGGAGCATGAGCCAGGGCTGCAAAACTCCCTGCTGTCTTCCCTCGTGTTCCTTTTTAGAGAGTTGGAGTGTTCTAAAGAAAGGAAGGACGCCTTGGTATATGAGTTAGCTCTTTGCTTTCCAGGGAGCTGACGAACGACCGATGCTTTCGCAGCTTCAGACGAGGAGAGGTTAAATGTTCGTGTTTGTCCTGGGGAGCCTGGCAGGTCCCAGCCCCGCGGTTCTGGGTTCCGGGTCTGCCCACCGTGCCTCTCCTTCTGGAGCTCAGAGGGCACAGACCTGCTGACCCTTCACGGAGGGGCCCCGTTCCCGTGCCTGAGCACAGAGGAGCAGGGGGACAGATGGGGCCTCCGGGGGTCGATGTGGAGTGGGCCCAGGGCCTCCGGGCTGCAGCCTCGGAGTGCCTTGGGGGGGCTGTGCCCCAGCGCAGTTCTGTTCCAGGACAGGTCCCGGTGGTCTCTCCAGCTCCTCGGGCCTGCCCCCTGCAGTGCAGGTCCAGTTTCTGGGCAGCACGGGTCCTCCGCAGCGCCCTCACACCAGCTGGCATCTCATCTCCTGATGGGAAGGCGTGTCAAAGACTTTGCAGTCTTACTCTGAAACCCCCACCCCACCCGCACCCTTGGGGTCCCAGAGAACTGCCTTAGTTCTGGACACGGCCTGCTCGGTCCCTGCTCAGATTTGGGCTTTGCGCTCCCTGGCCCTGGGGGAGGGGAGGCGGTGAGAAACTGCTTCCCGCCTCCTGCATGTCCCCAGCCCTGCCACCCAGCATGCTCTGCAGCTTGGGAGGCCCAGCATTCTGCCCGGAACAGTTATGTCTCTGATAAGTGGCCCAATTTTGCAGACAAAATAAGCGTGGGACGGAGAGCGCCAACAGAAGAGTCGGTGTTTTCCTACAGATCTTTCACCTGGGATTTCAGCAAGGAGACCAGGGTTCTTGAGGCCTCTTTAGGCTTGATTTTAATTGCGTTTTCTTAGGATGGCCCAGCAGAGCTGAGTCTGGCGGATACATCCCGAAAAGCAGTGTGGGCGATCAGAGACCAGCTCCGCAGAGCACTGGGACCCGGGGCTCAGGGCTGGGCCCGGGCCAGGGTCACAACAGCCAGGGGTCACCACTCCGTCGCCTCCTCCCCAGACTACCGCTGCAGTGCCCGCAAGGCACAGACCTGCCTCCGGTTTAATTTAATTCTAGACTCAGGTGTTTGTTTTTTAATGGAACGTTTGGGTAATATTGTTACTCTGTGTGTCTCGATAAGAAGGTTTCACTGATAAAGTGAGACTTCCAGAAGCTTTTGAAGAAATCAGGAAGAATTCTTGGAGTGGGAAATTCTCGAAAGGAATTACTGTGCATTAAAAATGGTGTTTAGAATAAAAGCTCAGGTTGGCAGTATAGCATACTGGATCATCCTTTTCACCCAGCCATCTAAAAAAGATACAGAAATAGTATTTTTTTTTAGCCTTTCTGGCATTAATTGATTGGACCCTTTCAGAAAATGAACAATAGCTCAGTTTTCTAGAGTTCAGGGCCCTAAATAGTTCTTTTTAAAATGATGACCTACATTTATGGCTGTCAGTCATGACTTCATCGGTATTTGTGGATTAGCAGAATAACAAGTTGATGTGTAGCTGAGTATGAAGAAGGAAGAGTATATTTTATTGTGAAGAGTGGTTCATTTTAGTTTTTTTTATTTTAATCATTGTTCAAGTACAGTTTTCTCCCTTTTACTCCCATTCCAGCCCACCCACCCATAATTTTAGGTTTTTACATGAGATTAGAAAAACAGCTCTGTATTTTAGAAATGTATCATTTTGTCTTGAGCAGCCAACGGGTCTATAAAATGAAATCTCACCTACTCTTTAAAAAAAAGAGAGAAAGAAAAAGACAGCAATGCTCCTGAATGAAAGGGGGGTGTTGACGAGGGGCGCTTGGCTGCTGGGCTGTGGGAAAGTCAGCACCTTTGTTAGCTTCATGGCACGCTGGGACGGCAGGAACACTGCCTGTGACCTTGACCGGCATTCTCTCAGTGTGTCTATTGCTTGTTTGAAAGCTGGGGTGCAGCTCTTTGGACTTGCGAAGTACGAAGACTCTCAGTCAACTCCCCTGCCGTGACTGAGGCGGCGGTCTCATTGCGAGAACGCGGACTGAGACGTCCCCGTCACAGTCGCGACCTCGCGGATCCAGGCATCTCGGCCTAGATTTCCTCCTCTCGTAACCCGTGTGACGGCGTCCGAGCCCTGGCGAACGCTCCCGGGTCAAGTCGGGGTGCAGAGCTGCGACGACTCAGGCACAGCTCACAGCAGCGCCAGGCCCCGCCGCTCGCCAGCCGCGGTGTCCGCCAGGCGATGTCTCGGGACAGCGGGCCGTTCGCTAAATGGCGTATTGGAAGCGGCCATAAACGTGTCGGCCCGTGGCCTCCTGCCCTCCCTGCAGGCTGCAGGCTGCAGGCTGCCGGCCGTCGGGCCTCCTTTCCCCCCGGCATGCCAGGCTTTGCAGCGGTCCCCGGTTCCATTCCTGGGCTCCCAAAGCAAGAGCTCCACAAAGCAGTCCCTTATGTGAGGTCGCTGTGCCGCGAGTTGCAGAGGTCACGCGTCCGCTGCAGGAGGGACGGCTTTGATGACATAGGTGTTTGCGAGGTCATTCGATCCCGCTAAGGGGTTTCAGCACTTCTTTGGGTGTCTGCCACTTGGCCCGTGTTGAGAAAGTTCACACAGATACTGTCTAACACTTGTCACCACAAAATGGGATGATCAGTATTCTGTGGAATTCTCATTGTTGGAAGGTCTAGTTTATATAATTTTGGATTTTGTACACATAAAAAGCTTTTATAATACTTAGGGTAGGGCGAAGGGAAGGGACTCCTTCTCCCTGGTAATATTTAAAGAGACGCTTGATAAATGAATTCCAGGGCTGTTCCTCAGAAGTGCAAGTACTAAATGTGAGTTTGCGCTAGATGACTTCGCAGAGTTGTCTTGCAATACTGAGATCTGATGGATGCTGAATAATAATAATAATTCCTTATCATGTGATATTTGGCATTTTAAGAGTTAAAATATTTAACTTCTGCACGTCAGAAAAAAACTAAAAGCAGTTGAAATACCGTTTGAATGTGAGTGATCGTCACAGCTGGTTAGGACAGCGGCTCAGACTTGTGCTGTGTCCGAGCCGCTGGGCGGGTGTGTTTGCCGACAGTACGGACACTCAGGTCCCACCCACTATCCACAAACTCTGTCTCTGCAGGTGCGGCCTGATCATCTTTATTTTGGGGTGATTCCGATGTATTTCACAGTTTGCACACCACTGCTCTAGGATATAACCTTTCTGCCACTTTTTGAAGTTAACTACTTGCATAGAAATACATTCAGAAAACTGTTTACCCCTTTCCATGAAAGGAAATAATAATAATAGTTGCTATTTGTGGGCCCCCTGCTATGGGCTAGCATTGTGCTCGTCCCCAAGTAACCCTTCGAAATTATCATCATTTCCCCCTTTTTATAAGTTAAGAGATGAGATTGGAGAAGTTAAATATCTTGCCTCAGTTTACCCAGCAAGAAAGTTATAGAGTGGAGACTTGAGTCCAGGTCTTTATAATTTTAAAATCTCTCTGTATGCGTGCAATGTGTTCTAAAACAAAGACTTTTAATATCATACGGAGCCTGGATTGGGACAGCAGTGAGTTAACTTGGGTTTCTCCCGTCCCAAACATAGCATCCCCGGGAAGCGGGGAAGGGAGTGGGGCCAGGGGGCGCGGGCACCGCTGAAGAGCTGCGTGTTCCAGCTGCGCCCGGTGCCCAGCGCGGCCAGCAGGTGCTGCCCGTGAGGAGGACGTGGGGGGAGCCTGAGGGGGAACCCCAGACCCTTCCAAGGCCGCCTGCTCTCAGTGGGGTGGTCTGTGCTTTATCAGACTGGCAGAATGAGCACCGGAGTCTTCCGGAGTCTAGTTTTCTCCAGCGTCAGCCAAGCAGCCCCAACCTTCATTCAATGTGAAGAACCGCCCTGCAGTTAGGAATCGTCCCCCAAACCACCTCTCAGGGCACAATCAGAGGAAAAGATGCAGGTTTGGTTCAACCATTTTGTGAGTTGATTGTAGAAAGAAATGTTGAATTTGTTTCTTGTGCATAAAGAGGAGAATTGAAAGAAATTGCATGGGGTTCGGCCCAGGAAATCGATCTTTTCAGGAAAACCAGAGATGATTCAGTTGAACTACCAGAGACGAGAAATAAAAAATCAGTGATTGCAAAGCACTGTGTAACTAAATGCGGCATAAAGTAGAAGAAGCGTTAAACACAAACAGTGTCAAGTTCATTGTTATAGAAAAATACGATAGCATGCATGGTACCCCCTTGAGAGGAATGCAATTACTTTTTATTTTACGGGGTTATTAATTGTTTCAACTCAAATGTGAATGTCTTCCTAGAAATGCTGCAGCACCTCCACCAGCAGCTGGTGGAGGCCGAGCGCAGGTCCATGACGTACCTGAAGCGGTACAACAAGATCCAGGCGGACTACCACAACCTCATTGGCGTCACGGCCGAGCTGGTAGACTCTCTGGAGGCCACGGTCAGCGGCAAGATGGTAAGGAGGCCCCCCGGCCGTTCGTGTCTTTTCGAGATAAAGATGCATCACGGCCACGGACCGTGTTGACACCGATTCCCGGCCACCCCAGCCACGCCCCTGCCCACTCTTCACAAACCAACACGTGCACAGGAGCTGCGCTGTTTACTGTGCGGCTTGCAGTGTTTTAGACCTTCTTCCTGACACACTGTCTCCCGCGTCTTTATTTATCTGCCTGACTCTTAATGTCAGCAAAGAATACATTGGCAACAGGAAAAAACTCTGTAGTGGCGTAAAAATAAGGGGGCAGGACCCTGCTGGTAGATAGGAAAGCTATAGATTTTCTTTTTCTCTAATTTCTTTATTTCTTGGCTTGAGAAAGTGAGAGAGAAACATCGATGTGTTGTTCCACTTATGGGCGCATTCATTGGTTGCTTCTTGTATGTGCCCTGACTGGGGATTGAACCTGCAACCTTGGCGTCTTGAGATGATGCTCTAACCAACTGACCCACCTGGCCAGGGCCTAGATTTTCATTTGTTGGTTTTATATCCAGCTGTCTTCCTGAACTCTTGTTAACCTGATAGATTCTCTTGATCGATTCTCCTGTGTTCCGGATTGGCAGTCATGTTTCCGAATAAAGATATTTCTGGTCTGCGGTTTTCACTGTTTGCCGTGACGTTTCACCCCAGGCGTGCCGACTGAGCCTGCAGGACGTCATTAGAGGGTGCGGTTGTGACATCTGTGGCCCGTCTCTGCCTTTCCTGGGAATGACTAGTGTTCTGCGTGATAAACAGTAGAAAGTATAGTAAAATCTCTTTGTGGAAACATAACTTTTAAAAATGGGTGTAATTGGATGTAATTTTTAAAATGTAATCCAGTGTTTGAAGTGGACGTAATGGGCTACGTCTTGGAGGGCCTTGCCACCGCTGAAATGGAGGGGCAGGCGAGGCTGGGGGGGAAGAAAGGCTCGTGTTCATCGGTTGCCTCCTTTCTTGTTAAAAAGCACCCGTCGTCACCCTGGTGTGCCTCTGCAGCCGGGCCTGACCGGACACCAGGTGTGGTGTGCTGACCAGAGGTGGCGTGTGAGCTCCACGGCGGGGGTGGCAGGTCCCGGGCGGGTTGGCGGGGGCGGCTCAGGTGTCAGGCGAAGAGACGGGGCAGAGACAGGACTCCCGACTGGCTTGTCTTCAGTGTGATAGAAACACCCGCCCACGGTGAAGAATTGGAACGATTCAGAGGAGCAGACAGTGGGGAGCGAACGCTGCCTCCCACACACAGTGCCTTATTCTCCCTTCTCTATCGATAGCCGAGATGAAGGTCTTCCCCTGTGTCGTTCTGGAACATTTCCGTGCACAGGCCTGTGTGTGCGCACCCAGGAACCCGCGTGCGCGCAGCACTCATGGACCTGCTTGGGCGCCTGCGACCCACCGCTCTTCTGAAACCGCTGTTTCTCTCCCCGTGTATCTCGGGGCTCTCCCCCACCCCCACCTCACTCTTGGTGATGCCGGGACCGCACCCCACTGTGTAAGGGCCAGCGGCGACGTGTCGGCGCTCCGGGGACGGGCACTTAGACTCGTTTGCTGTGGCAACAACGTGGCCACGAACATTCCTGTATGTGCTTTTGAACAAGGGGAGATAAGGCCCCAGAGTGGCATCGGTAGGTCAAAGGCCCCAGGCTGTTTCCCCCGACCCCAGATGTCCGCAGTGCCCGGCCCCTCCCCCGCACCCCCCTCCCCCGCACTGTGCCCCAGTGCCTGCCTCTCTGCACTCTCGCCAGCACAGACTGATTGTCCTGTGAGGTCTCTGCCACTTGGGTAAGCAAAACTTAGTACTCTGAACGTTTCAGCTTACCTTTCTTTATTATGTAGGAGGCGAGTGTGTTCTCCTGTGTTCGCTGCCTGTTTATACTTTGTTTTGTGGCCCGGTTGTTCGTATCCTTTCCTCGGTCACCTGTCTTAAGCGAGAAGGCAGCACAGTCGCGTGTCCTTGTGAGAGAAGCGGCTCCGGAAGTCAAAGGGGGAAGCAGTGTCAGGAGTAAAGGGTTGATCCAAAGCCTCAAAAGCCACAGAAAACTCTAGAAAACTATTGTAGCACTGAAAAGCGTCCAAGGTTTTCCATGTTGACAAGGGCACTGGCGGTGCTGCAACTCCCAAGGGCTCCCAGGACGTTAAAGCCAGGCGGCATCCCGGCCCTTGCGGAGAGAGCCTTTCGGGAGACGGCCGTGGCTGCCCGGTGCCTCCGCGGTCTCCGGGTGAGCCGCCTCCTCTCACCGGCTGCCCTCGTGCCCTCTTCGCAGATCACTCCCGAGTACCTGCAGAGCATCTGCGTCCGCCTCTTCAGTAACCAGATGCGGCAGAGCCTGGCGCACAGCGTGGACTTCACGAGGCCCGGGACGGTGAGGCCCCGAGCCCCTCCCTGGTCTGCACCCCTGCCCCCTTAGTGGAGGGAGAAACTAGAAAACTGAAAGAGCAGCAGAAAATAACACTCAGGAGTCTGCACCTCAGCTGCCTTTGGGGGTCTAAAAACCCCCCAGAAGGAAAAGAAAGCTGTTTTAAAAGAGCAAGCAGTGGGAAGACAGCCTCTGGGGGCGGGGCGGGCGGGGTGGGGGTGGAGCCGGTGTTGTGCCCCGCCCACTGGAGCTGCTGCGGGTGCCAGGGGCTGGAACCAAAGAGCAGATCCGTAGTCCAGGAGGAAACCGCATTCTCTTTCTAAGTGTGGGTAGTGGGGTGGCCTGGGGCAGGGACTTTCTTTTCTTCTTTTACAGCTTTTTACTTAGGGTAATGGCAAACAGAGAAAAGTTGCAAAAATAGCACAAAGGACACTGTGTGTCCTTTAGCCAGATTCAGCTGTTCGCAGTTTATTCTGTTTGTTTACTTTCTCTCTACACGTAATCTGTTTCCTGAACCATTTGAGGACAAATTACTGAAGGCTTCGTTTCTAGGAATAAATTCTTCAGTGCAGAGTGCATTTCTTTTTCTCTTTGCTCTTATTTATTTATCTTTAGAAGAGGGGAAGGGAGGGAGAGAAACATCCATCGGCCACCTCCCTCACGTGCCCTCACTGGGGACCGGACCTGCAACCCAGGCAGGTGCCCTGACCGGGAATCGAACCGGGTGACCTTTTGCCTCCCAGGCTGACACCCAGCTAACCGAGCCACACCCATCAGGGCAAGAGTGTCTTCCTTAACAGGAATATCATCTTCTATAACTACATGGCATCGACGTCGGTAAATTGAATACCGATCCAGTGTTCTTGCCCAAGCCTTGCGTTTTCTAGCTGTGTGAGCTGGGCCACCCCGTCCCTTAGGGGGTTCCCCCTGCTCCTGGCGGGCAGGGGTCCAGTGTCGTGCACTTGTCGCATGTCTCTAGTCTTCTTTGCTCTTGAACGTTCCGAGGACTTTCTTTGACCTTCATTGACTTTCACGACACTTGAGGTTCTAGGGGAATGTGGTTCTTCCCCTCTTTTAAAAATAGAACACTTTTCTTCTCGCGTTTGATGTTTTCTTGCGATTAGATTCGGGTTTGCGTCCCAGGCCGACTGTTACGTAGGTGACGTTGTGTCCTTCTTAGGTAGCTCCCCTGGTGGCGGATGGTGGTGGGCTGGGGTTCTTCACCAGGGGGACTGAGTACACCAGTGGCCCCCGGGGACGTCTCCCATGTACGTTTTCAACGTCCATGACCCCATGTGCCCTGAGCTCACACCCACCTGGTCCGGAGACCGAGCGGGTGCGGCCGGGTGCCAGGTGCGTTAGATGAGGAAGGAGGTGCCCTGTGGGTCACCGCCACGACTTTTAGCTAAGGGTTTGCATATTAATATTAGGGTCTTCATAAACATATTGGGGGCTTTTATGATATTAAAATAGTGTATTCCCTACCTCATTCTCAAGTGGGTTTGAAGAAGCTTGTTATTACAATATGAGAAATAAAATAAGTAGAAAACAGCCCTGGCTGGGATGGCTCAGTGGATGGAGTGTCAGCCTGTGAACTGAAAAAAAAGTAGAACATAAAAGGAAAAAATTGTGGTTAGAACTCACAGGAACAGAAAGTAGACTGATGGTCTCCAGGGGCTGAGGGGAGGGGAACCCGGGAGATGCAGGTCAAAGGGCACAGCCTTCTGGCTGTAAGATGAGTGAGTTCTGGGACTTGAAGGCACGGCGTGGTGATTCCAGTTAGTAATACTGTATTCATGCTTGGAAGTTGCCAAGAATAGATCTTAAATGCTCAGCACAGGAAATAAAAAGTAACTCTGTGAGGTGCGGGGTGGGGTGTTAACTCACCTCACGGTGGTGAACATTTCACAGCACACACACGTATCCCATTGCCCCGTTGCACACCTGAAGCTCACGCAGTGAATCTGTCTTTATCTCGGCGACGCTGGGAAAATAAACTGCGGTTCAGGAAAATCAGGGCAGGAATAATGAAAGGACACCAGGGCTGAGGCCAGCACACAAGTACTTGTCGTGAGTTGCTGTGCACCTGGAGAGACAGGCTCGGGTCTGGCTCTGAGCTTTGCAGCCAGAAGGGTCGTGTGGGCAGGTGCATGACTTGACTTCTGTGGGAAGAGAAGACAGTTCTGTGATGTGTATCACGTAGTATTTGCTGCATCCAAGTGCTTGTGCAGCCTGGAAGGGACTCCCGAATGCCCACCACACATCCCCCAAACAGACCACTTCCACGTCACCGAGGCTGCGGGTGTGCCCTTCAGACCGCGAGCTTGTCCCAAGCGGGTGTATCACTGCTGTCACCTGGAAACAAGCCTAAGCACATTTCTGAGAGGAGGCGGGTGGCCCCGGGCTGCTTCCCGTGGCGGTTCTGCTGCCCAGCCCCAAGGGCAGTTTCCCTCGTGGGTCTTCTCAGAAAGGACTCAGTGACAGGGCGAAGGGCAGACGTCCTTGACCACATCCCCGAGGGGCCTGCAGAAGTGCCCAGAGCTGTGTGGCCTGTGGGCGGCCACCCCACACACGGACATGTGGCGTTCCAGCCGAGAAATGAGGCTGTTTTTTAAATGTCAGTAAAGCGCACAGACGTCCGGGCTTCAGAAAAGGGGCCTCCTCGTGGGTGCGCCAGGGCAAGGGAGGGGCTTCGAGCCACACCCCGAGGACCTGGCTGAGCAAAGGCGGTCTCAGGGCAGAGTGTGCTCACTGCTGAAGGTGACAGCTGTTCGGCAGCCGTAGCCTAGCAGGGTCTGTGTCTAGCAGGACCACCCTTTCTTCCCTGCCTGCCACTTGTTATTTTTTTAAAGATTTTTTTCCAAAAGATTTTATTTATTTCTTGTTAGAGGCGGGGAAGGGAGGGAGAAAGAAAGGGTGAGAAACATCCATGTACAAGAGAAACATCGGTCAGTCGCCTTTTGCACGTCTCCAGCGGGGGACCTGCCCTGCAACCCAGGCTTATTTATGCCCTGACCGGGAATCGAACCGGCGACGTTTGGTTTTGTGGGTGACACTCAACCCACTGAGCTACACCAGCCAGGGCCCTGCCTTCCATTTACTTATTAATTCAGCAAATGCTCAGTCTACTCCAGGTTTGTGTTATCAAATCCCATCCTTTCTTGAAAGTACAGGAATCCCTGTATTTCCACTTTCCAACGGTGGAGTGAGGTGTCCAGCATGTTTAAAACCGCTCTCGTGTCGATGAGAGCAGTTTACAGGGGAGAGGGGCACAGCATCGCTGACCTTTTCCCCGTCAGAAGCCAACACTTGTCCACAGCTGGTCCGGCCCTCCTTCCCTGTCACCGAGCTGCGACGGTGCGGGTCCTCGGCCTCAGAGACCGGTGGAGCAGACGAGCTCTGTCACCTGGGCTCGAGTCCTTTCCCCTTGTCCTGGGCCGTGGCCTTGGGAACAGGCAGCAAGAGCTGCAAACAATCTTCTGTGGCTCCTAGTCCATTTCTCTGCAGACCGTAAGGCATGGCTGTGGGGCCACAGCCAGGGTACAAAGGACCCCTGGGGCCGATGAGGCACAGCTGACATCAGCGTCTGACGTCGGATTTACAACGTGGGAAGAGGAAGTCAGGGCACAGTTCCCATGGGACGCCTTGTGACCGAACGGATGGGGTTTAGGATTTGGAAGGAGAAGAAAGTTGCTTTTTTTTTTTTAATGTTTTAAAGGAGTCAAGTCCACATTAGGTCCAAACAGTACCATCAACTGCAAGGTCAACAGGCGGGCACAGGCCACCTCTTCTGTAGCGAGTCTTGGGCGGCGTGTCCCGGGGCGCTTTGTTGGCCTGGAGCGTTCCAGCCCGTCGCCTCTGAAGGGGGCTTGGCTGGTGCCCACCAGAAAGCCGCTAGTAGCTGTGAAGTGCAGCACATCCGGCCCTGGCTTTTAAATCTGGCCGTTAGAAACCTGGCCTTCTGCAACCTCACTCGCTGTGGCGAGTTCCAGAGGGCTCAGAAAATAGCTCCCTTCTTCCCCACTGAGCTCTGTACCAGTTGCAAAGTAGGACAAAAGAAGAAAGGGAAAAGTAGCTGAAAATATCTCATTGATACTGACAAGCCTGTATTGGAGAATATGGGTTTTATTTGTAGGCAGGTGGGTTTTACTATTTTTTTAAATGACATTTTATTCAAGGGTCTTAGGATTTGCAAATCGATAACACAGCTAGGAAATACCTAGAGTGTTCCAAAGGAGAAAGAACAGTTTTTTCAATAGTAAAAAGCCCACGTTTGAAGACAGTCAGTCCTGGATGGTAATCTCCCAGAGGCCCGGTGGTCTGGGCAATGGCTGCCAGTGGGCCAAATGAGAAACATTGTTTCTAAGCAGGACAAGTGGTTATCGGAAGAGATATATACATCTCCAGCACACGAACATTCCTTTTTAAGTTCTTTAGAGGCTTACCCATAGAATTTAGGTACATCCAGGAAACCGATGGTTTCCTCCTTTCGAACCCTGGAATTAAAGACACGCGCCCACCCAGTCCTGGACAGCCTGAGCAGAACTGCCCCGTACCCACTGGGCAGGCTCATTGCCTGGAACAAGGGGGCCGGGCAGGGTTGGGGGTAAAGATGACCCTGGGGGAGGGCCCCTGGCGGAAATGCTGTAAGTGGGGAGGAACGTGTTTGCACCCCACCTAGCTCACGCCCGTGGACTGTGGCCAGCAGCTTCCCGATCGGTCAGAGCTGGCAGACCCGGGCGCCCTGGAGGCACTGATAATGAGGGGTCAGTTTTTCTGAGAATAGAACTCTCCCAGGGGCCTCTCCGGGGTGGGCGGGCTGCCTGTCACCGCCCTGCCCTGAGGTTTGTTGCCTAGTCTTCACCAGGTCATCTGATCAATGTGCTTCTGTCTTACCAGGAATCTGGGGGTGAGGAGTCAGAGGAGAAACTTCTTCCTCTGGGCACAAGAGGAAGCAAAACACAAACCCCTTCCCTCCCTCCCTCGCACTCACCCCATCTCGTCTT